ACACACACACACACACACACACCAGTTAAGATGGAAATGTTACAAAACCACACATTGTTTATGTATTTTACTCAAACAATGTTTTCTCAGATTTTCATTTGTAGTCCATTTTCTCATGTTTTAAATTCAGTTTTACTAAACACAGTTTTCTAGTTTTCCAGCACAACACAAAGTAGAAATAGTAAGTGCCAAAGGCATCTCCAAGATTGAAAACCCTACAAAAAAAGCATATGTAGCTCTCAACAAATATATAGTCTGGGGTCATTCTTCATTAAGGCAAATAAATAAAATATCATAAGAGGCCACAACAGCTATATATTTTTAAGTGGATGTTAAGTAGATTTCTTGTGCTGGTCATTTTACAATATATACAAATATCAAATAACAGCAAATGTGCAGTATTGTCCATTCATTACCCAATGTCCTGTATGAGGGGCCATTCTGCAAACTACTGTTTGGATTTAACTGTAGGAAACAGTTTGTCTCTGCAAATGAAAATAGTTTCTTTATTTGGTCAGAAACTAGAAGTGATGTAATCCAACATACTTCCCTCTTGGTCTTAATTTCTTGGACCAAGCTGAGGAAAAATAATAATAACTCTGCTATCAATCCTGTTAAAATATATTCCCAAGGAAATAATTAATGAAAAGTATTAGTCACTGAGTATAAGATACTGCATCATCTTGAGTTTTAATAAGTTCTGTTATTTCAAAGCATCTTCCTACACAAAACTTGAATTCTTCAGTTTTGTATTTAACTCATCTGACTTGCATCTTTCAGATGTTAGTTTACTCAACAGCAGAAGGATACCCTGGATAACACTGTCATTATTTCTTGTTTACAACATCTAGGAAGACACCTACTTCTCCACCTCCTTCCACAGGGGCAGACTATATACTTCAAAGATGGCCACATCAACATATGTCTCCCATCCCTCCTGCCTCCCACCATAGGAGGGACCTGTGTTCCTCCCCATGTTGAATCCATGTAGAGACTTGTGATATCTCCTACCAGTGGAGTGTGGCAGAAGGTGACACAGCTTCCACCTAGCACATGTTTGCACTCTCTCTCTCTCTCTCTCTGTCTCTCTCCCTGTCTCTCTGGACACATGTCTAGGGACTCCTGAGCAAACATGCAAAAAGTCTAATTCCCCTACAGCTGCCATGCTGGAGGAATCATGTGAAGAGGCTACTTAGAGATACAGAGAGCTGCGCTGGCTCCCGGCTGATTCAGTCTTCCCAGACCAGGCACCAGACATATGAATGAAGGAGCCATTATGATGACACCAGCTCCAGCCACTCTCTGGCTACCATCTCATGAGTGACCCCAAGCCAGAACTACACGTCCAAGTAGTTGACACATTAATTCCTGACACACAGAAACCATTAGATAAAATAAACAATTAGTATTGTTTTAAGCCATTATAGTTTGGGATGATTCGGTTCTGCAGCCATTAAAAACTAATACACAACCACCAAAAGAAAAGACATTGTGGGGTGCCTGGACGGCTCAGTCGGTTAAGCCTCCAACTTTGGTTCAGGTCATGATCTCATAGTTCATGGGTTCGGGCCCCATGTTGGGCTCTGTGCTGACAGCTCGGAGCCTGGATGCTGCTTTAGATTCTGTGTCTCCCTCGCTCTCTGCCCCTCCCCCGCTTGCACTCTGCCACTCTCTCTTTCTCTCTCTCTCTCAAAAATAAATAAACATTTCAAAAAATTTTAAAAAAAGACATTGTGATCCACAGTTTACCTCATTAATCTCAGTCCCATCTGCGTTGTTATACACAATTCGATAACCAGTGACCTTTCTTGAAGCTGGGTCCCAGGCTAACCGAGCACTGTTAGAGCCAACATTGGAGATTCTCAGGTTTCTTGGTGGACTTAAAGGCACTTTGCAGTAAGAGGAATAGAACATAATTAAAATGTTAAATAACATATATGTTAAAAAGCCACAAAACCCTCAGTATCTTTGACTTCTCAACTACTTACATATGAAAAATTTCACCCAGATAATAACTTATAACAAAGAAAATTAACAAATTAACAAAGAAAAAAATTTCCTTGAAAAGAATGAATAGTATTGATAAATTATACATGCTAAGAAATAAGTAAGATTTAGATAAATTCTTTGTGCCCTTCTTCTCCAATCAAGGCTATTATTAAGACCTGCTGTAAATAAGAAACCTAATGGATCAAAAACCAGAGCACCTGAAATTAAATCTTAGCTATTTCATTCAACTGTCATATGATTCTGGCAAAGTCACTCTACTCCTCCTCTCTGCAATTTCCCATGTGTAAAATGAGGTTGATGGCCTCTGTCCTTTCCATCTAGGTATCCATTAGGCACTTCCAACTTAACTTGTCCAAAACTGAACCACTGACTCAGCCATCTCTTCCAATCTTCTCTCAATCTCTCCCTCTGAGCAAATAGAAATTCCATTCTTCCCACTGCTTAGGCCAGAAACCTTTGAGTCATCGAAGATTCAGTTTTCTGAACATGTCACCTTCTCACTGAAGTATTCCATGATCACTGTATGTAAAGTAATCCTTCCACTCCAATGCTACCTTTTACCCCTGGTTTATTTTTTATATTGCACTTTTATTGGTCTACTATATCTCTCACTCAATATACTGTAATTTTAGAGGATTAGGGATTAATTTTGTTCTTGGCTTTATCCCCAATATAGCAGGTTCTCAATATATATTTGTTGACTCAATGAGTAGGAGTCCTGCCCTGGATAAATCCCAGTGGCTTTGTGAAACTAAATAAAAACAAACACTTTGCTGTTGTTTTAAAACTATTTAAAGAGGTAATGGTAGGGGCGCCTGGGTGGCTCAGTCGGTTAAGCGTCCGACTTCGGCTCAGGTCACGATCTCACGTTCCGCGAGTTCGAGCCCCGCGTCGGGCTCTGGGCTGATGGCTCAGAGCCTGGAGCCTGCTTCCGATTCTGTGTCTCCCTCTCTCTCTGCCCCTCCCCCGTTCATGCTGTGTCTCTCTCTGTCTCAAAAATAAATAAACGTTAAATACTTTAAAAAAAAAAAGTTATAAAAAAAAAAGAGGTAATGGTATTTCTGCAGATTCTTGACCATCAATTCCACAGCTTTTTGTACTTCTTCAAGGCCCCCCTTCCAATTCAACAGATTAAAATTTATCAATAATCTTTGACAGTTTCGTGAGCTTTTACAGGTTTACAGTAAAAACAATTGTGAAGGTCTATCACGTGCTCTGTATGAATCGGAGAAGATCTGGAACTGATCATTATAATAACTCATGTATCTCATTAAACCCTGACAATAGACTGCAAAGAGATTACAACATCCCCATTATATAGGTCATAAGATTGAGGTAACTTGGCCAAAGTCGCAGTTGGGGCAGAAGAGCAATTAGAGTTTAACCCAGGCAATCGATCATTGATGTGAGAGCCTGTGACATAGTGCTGAAAGGGCCAGCAGAAAAAAAACCTAGAAGACAAATAACCATGGTTGTCAGCCATAGCCACAAAGTATAATGCTTCCTCACCCCAAAGGCCGATTATTTTCATTAATTCAATACACGTTGATTATTTGTCATTAAAGAGCCTATAGAACTTAGTGACTCTCTTAATACTTAAGGGGCTGGAGAGAAAGTATAGGAGAGAGAAAAGCAATAGAATGATTTCAAGAATTGTGCACACTTTGCTCTAAAATTTTCTGGAGTCCAGTTAAATACAGCAGCATGGTGGAACAATGTCTAGTTTCCTTACTGCATTAAAAATGCCAGTCCTCAGGGTGCCTGGGTGGCTCAGTTGGTTGAACATCCAACTTCTGCTCAGGTCATGATCTCACGGTTTGTGAGTTTGAGACCTGCAACAGGCTCTGTGCTGACAGCTCAGAGCCTGGAGCCTGCTTCAGATTCTGTGTTTCCCTCTCTTTCTGGCCCTCCCCTACTCATACTCTGTCTCTCTGTCTTTCAAAAATAAATAAATGTTAAAAAAATTTTTTTGATAACAACCAAAAAAACAATGCCCGTCCTAGGAACAGGTACCCAGGGACATCACTTTTTAGGACTGCCCCCTCCTTTCTTTTAATCAACTAGTACATTTCCTTCCCCTAAATAAAATTTACATTTTCTAAAGTTACAATTAGCTCTTAAGAAGTTTCAACTTAAACCAGTATTTCCAATTTAGAATCCCAACATTTATTTGGGTTTTTATTACAGCATTTCTTCTGAACAATTGAATTGCTCACATGTCATTTCTTGGCCCGTAACAGGATCGCTGGCCTCTTCTCCAAACATAGCATAAACTGTAACTGTGTATTCCGTATTGGGCAACAACCCACTCAATTCAATATCTGTGTGGGTCTCTCCAATTTTCATCTGAAAAGAACACACGTTATCAGATCATTTGCCAGTGTGCACCACTCCTGGTGATCAGAGTGCAACTGAGTTAAGGTGAGAATTTTGTCTCCTTGCAACCCCTTATTCAGACAGGCTTCAGTCATAATTTTTCACTGTCTTGTGTCACTTTATATTAGGAACAGATGCCATGGGACCATACAAAAACGAATGTACCACGCGTGCTGTTTTAGGATAACTCTTTACATCTGGACAAGTAGTAATCTCAGAGAGGATAACAGTGTCAAAAATTTAGTCCTCAAAGGAGTGTGGGTGGAACTGAGTCACAAATGTTGTCTAGAAAGAGTATAAGCTCTAAGCAAGCTGGGGACACAGCCAAGTGGGCACCTCTCACCACTGGCTAATTCTAACCACTCCCTAGGCTGGGTGCCCAGTGTTTGCCTCAAGCCTGATTGAACTGGACCAGTTTTGTCGCTCCATTCAACAAAGGGGCCCGTGCACTTGGGATCGCAGTTTTCTCCCAGGATTCAGAAGAGATCAACAATCAACCCACCTTGACCTCCAATGTTGCAATTTGCTTTTTGATTCCAGAATGATTTTTCTGACCCTGGAAGTCAAAGAAACTAGCCAACATTCTCAGCAGTGTGACAAGTGCATCACAGCATGGTTTTATTTTTGTTTTGGAAGAAAGAAAAATATCTCCATAGTCAGTCTCCAGCCACACAACTGCCAATGTTGTTGTCAAATTAGAAATTTTAATGTCGAAGTATTTCAACATATAGAAAATAAATGTGGAGAAAAGAATATAATTCACCCTCCACACACCACTCAAATTTAATAGATAGGAACATTTTGTCATATTGACTTCCGATCTTATTTTAAAAAGAGCTAATATATTCAGATAAAACCAAAGTTCTGTCTCGTTCTTTCTGTTCACTACCTCCACCCTAGGGATGAGATGCATCTTACTGATCCAGTTTTTTACTTCTACAGTGTTTATATCTGTAAATAATATATAGTTCTGTATGTTTAACTATGTACATAAATGGAACCATGTGAACATAATTTTTTGCAATTTTTTTCTCTGTCAATACTATGTTTATCCACATTGATATAAGGGGACAGAGATGATATTTATATTTTTTATGGTATTTGTTTGTATAAATATGCTGCTATTTTCCATTCCTCTATTGATGAACATGTTGGTCGTTTGCAACATTCTGTTCTGACCAAGTGCTTGTATCCAAAAAAAGCCTTGCAGGAGGTTTCCTTAAGATATATTCCTAAAAAAAATGGTACATATCTTCAACTTGATGATATTATTTCAAATTATTCTCCAAGCAGCTGTACCAATTTGCATACCAATTTGCATGAATGATTCTGTTTCCTGTACACTCACTAATATGCAGTTATTATTAAACTTTAAAAACTGTTTGCTAATCTACTGGGTGTGAACTGGTATTTCCTTTCTTTCTCATTTTTTTTCCTTCTTGGTGAAGCTGATCATCTTTCTAGCATCATTTTTGAAGTCTCCCTTCTGCCAAAATAATTCAGATCAACATTAAATCCAAATGAAGTAAAGCTGTCTAAGCCCTGGAAATAAGAAAAAACCCACATGTCACCAATGCTCTGTTCCTGATACTCAGATTCACCACATTTTTCGTCCTAAACATTTCTGTCGCCAGAGGCAATGTTAAAGACAATGGTTAGACAATATCAAAGACTTGAGTTCTGAACTCCCCCCCTATTAATCACTCTATCTGCCTGGTCTCATACTCCCAAGTGTTACAGACATTTCCTCTTTATTCCTTGAATATCTATATTATAGTCATCATTCCCTATAAATTAAAAACAAAGACTAAATCATTTGAAAGTCAAAGATTCAACATTTAAAATGGAATACATGCAAAAAAAATAATCCATACCAATGCAATACATTTTCTACTTCTCAAATTGGTAAGAAAAAGTTTCTAAGTCAGTGAACATAGAGGGAAATAGCCATTTGTGAATTGCATATAGCAATAATATAAATTATAACAAATTTCTCTAGAATCATTTGCTAACGCTTAGCATAATTCTTAATAATTTGCACGCCATTTGAAAAAAGAAACTCTGTTTCTACAAATGTATCCTAAGGAAATAATCTGACAACCTTGCAAAATTACGTGTTAAGAATGATCACAAAAGCATATTTATACAACACATTATCTAAATGTCCAATAACATGCAATTAATTAAACATGACCTGGTACAAACCAACGAACCAACTGTTTAAAAAGAACATATAAAATATTCTCTAATGGTATGAAAAGGTATTCACAATAAACAAAATGAAAACAGAAGACTACAAAACCATTCCCATTTGCTGTGTTTAAAAATGCATTGAAAAGGACTTAAGTAAATGTTAACAATAGCGATTTCTAGGTGGCAGGATTACAGGTGATTTTTTCCCCTTTTTACTAATGTGAATTTTCTAAGTATTATACATTAAATTTTTATAATTAAAAAATCCATTTTCAGGAAGTCAAAGATTCTGGGACTCTAGTAGACAGCATGTGTTTACCTCTTTTTCATCCCCAGCCAGACCTTCTGTGAGAGGAGCATAGAGGATCAGGTATCCTGAGGCTCCGGGCACTGCATTCCATTTTACCCTCAGACTATTCTCGGTCACATCGTACAGTTCAAGGTCAGAAGCCATGGGTAAAGCAACTGCAAGATAATTTTTTTTTTAATCCTCTGCCATTTATCAGCGTGCTTGCTTATTTTTCAGATGATATTCATCCTTAAATATGTTCGTACAGCCATGCAAACCCCTTCTGAGAGGGAAAACACAGTGAATGTTTAAAACCAGAAACAACAGGGGCGCCTGGGTGGCGCAGTCGGTTAAGCGTCCGACTTCAGCCAGGTCACGATCTCGCGGTCCGTGAGTTCGAGCCCCGCGTCGGGCTCTGGGCTGATGGCTCAGAGCCTGGAGCCTGTTTCTGGTTCTGTGTCTCCCTCTCTCTCTGCCCCTCGCCCGTTCATGCTCTGTCTCTCTTTGTCCCAAAAATAAAATAAACGTTGAAAAAAAAAAAACAGAAACAACATCTTCTAGTTTCTTATAATCCACTACAGTGATGGGCACATTTCTCTGGGAGTCAGTCAAGAGCAAGGAGACTCTTCTGACCATTATTTTATACCCATCACCAAGCATAGAGTCTGACATGAAGCAGCAATTAAAAACAGTCATGTCACTTAGTAAATGACAGAATGGGTGGTTGAATGAACAAATATATGAGTGAACAGATACCCGTGAACAACGCAATCAATCAGAGACAGTGAGGAGACGTGAATGAGTCAGCAGTTAAATTAGTTCATAATACACATTCACCAAACATTTGTTGAGTTAATACATGTATTGCACCCTTAACCACCTAAACATACCCAAGTTTTATGATATCCCTCTCAATAGGCAGCACCTGCCAAGTGCAATTACAGGATGGTCCAATACCACGTAAGGCACCGCTATTATTTTCTATGACTTTGATTCAGGATGGCCATCAGGACAACCTGAGAGGAATTCCAGTTTAGGAAAGGCCACTGAAGCAACGCCATACAAAGTCAGACGTTCAATACATACGTGTGGTTTCAGTTCCCCGCAGGCCTTCACTAGCCGTGTGAGCATATATTGCGAAGACTGCTATCTGATATTCAGTTAAAGACATTAAATTTTTCAACACCGTAGAAGATACGCTTCCATCCACCACCACCTGATCAAAGAACAGTTCAAGGAACGAGAATATGAAATTGAATTGAATTGACATGCAGAATTGAAACCAAACAGCAAAATATCTCTAGCAAGAATGTTTCATTAAATTTTTTTTAATTTTTTTTAAAGGTTTATTTATTTTGGAGACAGAGAAAGACAGAGTGCAAGCAGGCGAGGGGCAGAGAGAGAGGGAGACACAGAATCCGAGGCAGGCTCCAAATTCTGAGCTGTCAGCACAGAGCCTGACGCGGGGCTCGAACTCACAAATTGCGATATCGTGGCCTGAGCCGAAGTTGGACCCTTAACTGACTAAGCCACCCAGGCGCCCCTCATTAAATATTTTCTTACTTGTGCCACATCCTCTTTTCCACTGTGGCAGTTAATTCTCCTTGAATTCCTATGTGAAGCAAGGCACCTTTCATGGAATATATCCAAAAGTCCCTTAGTAATCCATACCCGACAGAGAGTGTCTTTCCCTGGCTAACTGTTATCCTAACCACCTCTACTTAAAACAGTTGATGTGTGATATTTTTCCATGGAGTTTTGGGAAGCATTTAAGTGATTTAGTAGTCATGAAAAAGAACCACTGGAAGCACTTTTTTTTTTTTGGGGGGGGGGGTCCAGGGGGTCCAGATGATTTAAATCTCCCAGATCTACTTCAAGAAAAAAATTAAAAATCCTGCCATAATACATAAAAAATTGTGAGACACGTTGAGGTCAATCAGAGGTTGGAACAACAAAAGGTTAAGGTCAGCACTTCAAAAAGAAAGCAAGAAAGGGAAATTTCATCACATTTTAACATATTCCCTGTGACTACTGTGTCAAAGGTAGGAAATGGGAAAGACCCAGTCATCTGGCAATAGGTATTCTCTCCTGTGATGGCCAAACCATGAAAAAAGCTGGCTACAGATACTTTACTGTGGCTTCTCAATGGCACTAATCTCTCCACAAATGTCTAGGAAATCCCAAACCCTGGAGGATGATATGACCACATAATTTGGAACGTACATACTTCATTAAGGCAGAAAGTTCAGACCACTCCCAAAGTAGAAAGAACACATGAATAGCAAAAAGGGGCTCTGGCCACGTAATTAACTACTGATTCCTTCTGCTTTAGAACGTATTGATTTTACAAAGAAGAATAGTCAAAATAAGTCATGTTAGAAATGAACACATGACCAGCCCCGAGGGTTATTTGACAGAGGTGGGAGGAGAAGGTATAAATGCCATAACCAGAGAGATGGGAGAACAAAGTGGACACATGCAAATGTACTTCAGTCCAAAGAATTTTAAATGTTTGTGACAGAATCATCTCCTCATATATGCATTTCTCTCTTGTCCTCACTACAGTGGAAGACTAGAGAGAATGAAAATAATGGTTTGAAAATATCATCTCCTTATTACCTCGTCTGGTTTTCCGCCCCTGGCAGGATAATACACGACTCTGTATTTTTCCACTTTTCCTGGGGCGTGAGTCCAGTTAACCATAAAGCTCCTGGCAGTGACTTCAGAAGTAATCAGCTGTGTAGGCGGCCCAATGGTGGCAAGGGCTGACGCTAGAGTAGAGAAACACATAAAGTGAACCTTTTTCCCAAACTTACTTCTTATGTACCCAGGAAACCCCATTAGTTAGAAATGCCTATTGGTTTCATGCTACCTCTAATATTTCATTTCTAGCCAAGTTCATTCAATTATTCATTCTGACATTTGAAACACTGAAACATTTAAGTGCCTGTTATGTACCAATCACTATGCTAGGTTCTGAGAATATGGACTTAAATAAGCCAGGCCTTGACTCCAAAATACTTTCTTAAAGACATTGCTATATAACAATTAAAAAAAAAAAACACAACATTGATTGAGCATGTGTGTATCTAAAGGTACTCTCTTGAGTTCTTTAGAAGTATTATTTTATTTAACTCTAATAGTTACTATTATTGTTTCCATTTGGTACGAGAGAAAACCAAGGTACAATGAAGTTAAATAATGACCAACTCTCACAATTAGTAAATATCAGAGCTGAGATTGGTACTTGAGTTTTTGACCTAAGTGTCTATATTTTTAAGCATCAAGGGGTACAGTCTTTTCCGAAGACTTCAATTCAACAAATGATCAGTATCTGAAAGTAAAAAGAAAAGAAAAGGCAACTAACATATACTGAATAGCTCAGTATGAGCTAGACACTATATTAGCATTTTGTGTGTATTATATACATGTTAAAACAAATGATTCTATAAAAGATTTGGGACATGTAAATTTAAAAGTCCTTGACCTTTAGGATTTCTTACCATCTAGGGACTTTAGTAACCAGAATAATGATGGGGGGGGGCGGGGAGGAAACCATAGTTATTGAATACTTAACTGTGGTTAGGAACTATATTCTACGCTCTATCAAGAACCACATGCAGAGTTTTTTTTGTGGGAAAAGTCGGTCTCTAAAGTAGTCTCATTAAGATACTCAGAAAAATGTGTTCAAGAAACTACCGCTTGGCTGTCCAACCTAGTCCCAAGAGATCTGGTCCAGGGAAAGAGGAATGATGGAAGACATGTAGCCAAATAGAATCATTCCACACCCTGGATACAATGAAAGCAGGATATAAAACCAAATTCTCAAAGGAGGATATGGATATCACCCTCTTCTCAGATCACAACCTTGTATGTGGGATGGCAAATAAGGGATGGCAGGACCCAAGGAATACTACAGTGATGAGTTCCTGAGTTTTCCTTTCACCTCATCTGTCCTACACATGGAACTAAAGAATCCAGCAACCTAGAAACACCAATAGATACAGACAAAAAAAAAAAAAAAAAAAAAAAAAAAAAAAAAAGCCCCAACAAAGCCTGCTCTCTCCAGCCAAAGGACAAGAAAAGGGTCAGCCTGCCAAGACAGAAAAATTTCAGGCAATAACTGTTCTATTCTCGACAAATACTACACAAAAAACCTGTGGCCCCACCCCCATTCATGTCAGCAAAGGCTACTAAGTGGGTAGCCAACACTTTCAACTTTCTTGGCTGTAATGGCATGCCCCAACATTCTCCCCCTCCCAGCCCACAGCCAGAGCCGTGTGAGAAAAGGTCAAGTAGGGAAGAGAGATAATCACCCCTGACAGGTGGTAACAAATCTTTCCACCACACCCCCATCTGTGATATCAGTGGAGACCATATGAAGAGCCCGGACTTCCAACCCCACCTACTAGTATTGAAACACCACTCCCTGTCCCCTCTGGGATGGTGTCAGAGGACATCTAGCGGTGAATCAGTACTTGAAGAAATAATGCCTGAAAATTTCCCAAATTTGGCAAAATAAATAAATAAATAAACTACGGATTCAAGGAAATAAGTGTACCCCCAAAAATGACCATTGAAACTGACACCAAGGCATACCACAACCAAACTTCTGAAAACTAAACTCAAAAGAAAAATCTTAGGAGCCACAGGGGCAAAATGACACCTTATCTATGGTGGTGGGAAATTCTAGTCACAGCAGATTCCTCATCAGAAACCATGCAGGCAAGAAGAAAGTGGCACATTGTTCAAGTATTAAAACAAAAGAGCTGTCCATCCCAAACTTTATATCTAGCACAAATAGCTTTCAAGGATGAAGAGAAAAATCAACGCATTCTCAGATGAAATAAAATTAATAATCAGAGGATTTTCCACCAACAGACCTATCCTAAAAGAATAAGTAAAGGAAGTTCTTTAAATAGAAAAAAAAAAATAATAATAATAATGAAAAGAAAGAACCCTGAAGCCACAGAAAGGAAGAAAGAATGAGGGCATAAAAATATGGATAAATATATTTTACTTCTCTTTTTGAGTTTCCTAAGTTTTATGTTTTATAGTTTTATAGTTTTATAGTTTTATAGTTTTATATGTTTTATATAGTTTTTATAGTTTTTATATGTTTTATAGTTAAAGAATTATAATATTTTCTGATGCGGTTCTGAAGATAAAAAGAGGAAACATTTAAGCCAATTATATTATACACAGGTGTGATAAAGGAACTTGAAAAGAGGTAATAACTACACCTCACTCAAAATGCCAAATGTCAACACAGGCAGACTGGAATAATTTATATGTATATATAACATTATACCCAGAACAACCACTAAAAAAGCCATACGAAGAAATTCCAAAAAAAAAAAAAAAAAAAAAAAAAAAAAAAAAAAAAAAAAAAAAAAACCACTATGAATACACAAAAACAGAGTTCTAAGAACTATAAGAAACCCAAAGGAAAAAAAAGATAAGGATCACAGAGAAATGAAAACCAGAGAGAAAAAATAAGAAAAAAAAAACCAACAAATAAATATCAGGCCTAAACCCAAATATATCAGTAATTACATTAATGGAAACTGCCTAAACATACCAATTAAAAGGAAGAGGTTATCAGAGTGGATTAAGACATATGACCATATGTCTACATGAAATTCAGTTCAAATATAATATAGGTAGGTTGAACATAAATAGATTTTAAAAGTTGTATCATGTAAACATTAATCAAAAGGAAGTAGGCATGGCTATATTAATATCAGACAAATATATTAATATCAGACTTCAGAACAAAGAAAATTAGTAAAGGCAAGAGGGACATTACATAATGATAAATGGCTAATCCACCAAGAAAACATAACATCCTAAATATGTGTGCAACAAACAACAAGCTGCAATATATATAAAGTAAAACCCATAGAACTGAAAGAAGAAATAGACAAATCCATAATTATAGATGGAGACTTCAACATCTCTCCCTCAACCATTGATAAGATGACTAGACAGAAAAATTAACAAGGATATAGAACTCAACAAGACCATCAACCAACGGGATCCAGTCAAAACTTATAGAACATTGTACATGACAACAGCAGAATACACACCCTTTTCACGTACCCACAGAGCATGTACCAAGATAAACTACATTCTAGGCCATAAAACACACACTGGAAAATTTAAAACAGTAAAAATCACATAGAGAATGTTCTCTAATGACAATGAAATCAAACTAGAAACTAATCACAGACAGGTAATAGAAAAACATGCAAGCACTGTGAAACTACAAACAACCACTTCTAAATAATCAATGAGTCAGAGAGGACATGTCAAAGAAGATCAAAAAATATTTTGAAATGAATGAAAATGAAAATACAAAATATTGAAATTTGTAGAGCTCTTCTAAAGCAGTGCTGAGAAGGAAAATTATCACATGTAAGTAATTACATTAGAAAAGAGGAAACATCTCAAATCAGTAATTTAAGTTCTCACCTCAACGATCTAGAAAAGTATGAGCAAGATGAACTCAAAACCAGTAAAAGAAAGAAAATAAGGAAAATAAGAGAAGAGATCAATGAAATTAAAAACAGAAGAAAAACAGAGAAAATCAATGAAACCAAGAGCCAGTTCTCTGAAAAGTTTTTGTTTTTTTATTTAAGAACAAACCTCTAGCAAGCCTGAAAAAGGAAAAAATGAGTGAGAGAGAGAACACAAAAACTACCTATATCGGGGGAAAAACTATAGACCCTGCAGACATAAATAATAAGGGAATACTATGAATAACTCTCCACACCTATATTCTACAAATTCTATGGAATAAACTAATTCCTTGAAAAGCAGAAATTCTCCTCCCAGGATGAGGAATAAGGCAAGGATGTTCATCTCATCACTCCTAGTCATCACAGTGCTGGAAATTTTAGCCAGTGAAATAAGGCAAGAAAATAAAAAGCACAGAGATAAAAACCACAGAAATAAAACTATCCCTATTTGTGAAGGGTATGATTTATTTCCTAAATAGACAATTCCTGAAAATCTAGAGGAAAAAAAAACCTAGGATTAATTAGCATGTTCAAATAACAAGGTCATAGGATACAAAATAAACATACAAAAATATAATTGAATCTGTATATACTGGCAATGAACATGTGGATACCAAATTAAAAAATAAAATACAATAAAAATCACTCAAAATAAACTGAAACACTTAGATGTACATAGACCAAATTCTGTATAGAACCTGTATTCTGAGAATTACAAAATGCTGATGAAGAAATCAAAGAACATCTAAACAAATGGAAGGACTTACCAATTTTGAGGACTGGAAGAATCAACACAGGAAGGATGTCAATTCTTCTCATATTAATATTTGATAATTGAGAATTGATTTAATGCAATTCCAAACAAAATCCCAACAAGATTTTTTGTAGGATAAAAATTTTTCTCACATTTGGAGCACCTGGGTGGCTCAGTTGGTTAAATCTCTGACTTTGGCTCAGGTCATCTCACCATTGGTGGGTTCAAGCCCTGCCTCGGGCTCTGTGCTGACAGCTCAGGGCCTGAAGCATGCTTCAGATTCTGTGTTTCCCTCTCTCTCTCTCTCTCTCTGCCCCTCCCCCACTCACACCGTGTCTTTGTCTCTCAAAAATAAATACGCAGTAAAAAAATGTTTTTAATTAAAAAAAAAGATTCTTCTCACACTTATATAGAAAGGTAAATAAAGTAAAACAGTGAAAACAATTTTGAAACAGAAGAATGGAGAGGGAGAACACAGTCTGTTCAATCTCAAGACTTCTGGAGCTCCAGTAAATCAAGATTGTATGATATTAGAAAAGGGTTAGACTCATAGATTCAAACGAGCAGATTAGAGAACCCAGATATAACCCACACAGATCTGCCTAACTGATACTTGACAAAGGTACAAAGCAATTCAGTAGCAGAAACGGAGCATTTTCAGTAAGTAGTGCTGGAGTAATTGCACGTTGATAGGCAAAAAAAAAAAAAAAAAAAAAAAAAAAAAAAAAAAAAAAAAAGCCTTGAACTAAACTTCAAATATTTTACAAAATTTAACTCAGACCATGGACTTAAATGTAAAACATTAAACTTTTAGAATAAAAATACAAAGGGGAATTTTTACAATTTATGGCCAAGAATCCTTAGGCTTGATACCAAAAGCAATAACCATAAAATGAAAAATTGATAAACTGGACGTCATTAAAATTTAAAACTTTTGCTCTGCAAAAGACCTTGTTAAAAGGATGAAAGGACAAGCTACAGATTGGGGGAAAATAGTTAACCAACCACATATCTAACAAAGGATAAGTACCTAAAATATAAATGAAGAATTCTCAAAACTCAACAGTTAAAAACTAGACATACACATGCACACACACTCACACGTCTAACTAGAAAATGGGCAAAAGACATGAACAAGCAAAGAGCAAATACAGATGCAAAATAAGCATGTGGAAAGATGTCCAACTTCATTAGTCATCGGGGGAATGCAAGTGAAAACCACAGTGAAATATCACCACACACCTATCAGAATGCCCAAAATAAAATATAGTAACAACAGCAAATATTGGTGACAATGCACAGAAACATAATCACTCATATATTGCTGGTGGGAATGTAGAATGCTGCGGCCACTCTGAAAAATAGTTTGGCAGTTTCTTAACTAAAACTAAGCTAAACTAAACATGGTTCACAATATGGTGCAGCAAATGCAGTCCTGGGCACTATCCCACAGAAAAGAAAACTTATGTTCATACAAGAACCTATACATGAATGTTCATAGCAGCTCTGTTTCTAACAGCCAAAAATAGAGACCACTCAGATGTCTTTCAATGTGTTCATGGTTAAACAGACTGTGGTCCATCTGTACCCTGGAATATGACACAACAGTAAAAAGGAAAGAGCTACTGATACATGCAACAAGCAAGATGAATGGCCAGGAATTATCCTGAAGGAAAAAAGCCAGTCCCCAAAGATTATATACCGCATAACTCCATTTATGTAATTTCAAAATGGAAAACATTTAGAGATGGAGAACCGATTAGTGGTTGTCGGGGGTGAGGGAGAGGTTGTGGGGAGGGATAAGCGAATGTGGCCATAAAAGGACAACAGGAATGATCTCCATGGTGATGGAAATGTTCTGTGTTGTGGCTATCAATGCTAGTATCCTGACTGGGATATTGTATTGTACTTTTGTTACGTTACCATAAGGGGAAATGGTAAAGTATACGTGATCTCTCTCTACATTCTTTCTTAAAACTTTATATAAATGTACAATTATCTCAAAACCCAAAGCTTAGTTAAAAAAAGCAAACAAACATGATGGTCTAAATGCAACACCATGGAGAAAATTATCTAGTGGTTAAACTATTCCTCTCTCAGTGGGATGTCAGTATATTCCCTTTTCTACTCTGATGATTCACGTCTTAGGGGAATAAAGGACTCTTAGAAAGTCAACATAAAAAAATGGTAAGAATTTTCATAATCCATGATAGACTTTTGCACAGGGTAATATCCACATGCACAGAATGACCGCCCTCTGTTCCTTGTTTTACCTTTGATCTCCCTGTCCTGTTCTTCTACCCGGGAGCAGACTGTCCTCGTCAGGCTCTCCACAACTGTGTGCATCAGGTCAAATTCAGCGACATTGTACACATGAGTGCTGTCTGGTTCAGAGGCAATCTCCCGCAGTTCATTCTCATCTGCGTTTTTCACCCCTTGTGTGGAGGACAACAGGGAGGGTTGTGACATTCATGCCCCATTTGAAACACCAGCCATCAGTGCCCCCCACCTGCAATCAAAGCATCTGCTACTTTAAAGAGGTGCATCTTATGTTAGAGTGTTTTGTAAAAGTCACCTTCAGAATCTCTTTTAAATGATTATATCCTAATTTTGGTCGGTATATCTTAGCAAGAAGATGTATTAGTGAAATTAACATTTGTCTTGCATGAATATTGCCAAAGCAACAGTAATTAAGCCAGCTTTCTGAACTATCAAAACCTTAGGTTTAAATTTCTATAAAATAAGTTTACTGAAATTGAGAGCTACTATTGGAATAAAAATTATATACATAAAGGAACCGTTCTGATTATTTATAGTATTATTATATAGCATTAAGGGAAAGCTTGGGGGCAAAACAATTTTTTAACATATTTAAGTACAACTGGCTGACTAGAAACCACTGCAATTTTGCTAATGCAAATAGGGAAGCTCTGGTTCTCCCACAGTGTTTGTGAAATTCCATTGCTACAAGTCAAGCCCAGTGCTGGATGTTTAGAATGCAGCAGGGAACAGAGGGGGACAGAAAATCCTCAGCCCCCATGCAACTTTTCCAGTCTTTCTTAGCAGCGGATGCTAACACTTCGAGTGTACCTGCTCTATCCTGGGAACTGCAGTGTTTCATTTACATGAACATATTTAATCCCCACAACCAACCCTAGGAGTCTGGCACTATTGTTTCTCCCATTGTATGAATCAGTAAACTGACACCCAGAGGGGTTAATTAGCTTGCTTAAGGAAACACACCAGTCAGTGGACAGTTGGGATTCCCAGGTAGTCTAGATCCAAAGTCATGTGCCCGTAACCACTTTCTCATGCTGCTTCTCAGAAGACGACACATTAAAATGAGTAAGTGGAAGCATAAATAGAAAAGGTGGGCACAGGGTTGGGTTCTATGGGTGCGGAGGCAGATTTCTCTTCCCCAGTCTTCAGCAAACAAGGAGCCTTTCTTTATAAATCCCTGTCACTGTAATCATGTAAGTGTACTTTCTTTAAAAAAAAGGTACTGTGGAAGCAAGGAAGAGAGATTACCTAGGGCAGCATGAATTACTTCTCAGATGCCTGGCTGTACCATGTAATTTATTCTCCAACCTTGGCATATTAAGTGACAAAGTGCTGGCTGTCTCCAAGCTATTTGCTTCAGGGGGTTATAAGATAATAAATACTAATGATTTCCAGGTAATTTCCAGAGAAAAAGCCCAAATCACATCTGTATGAGGTCACTGAAAGTTTTGTTTAAAAACTCATGCATTCATTACCAATAAGACAACAGGATGGAGACTAAACACATAAATTAACCCCATTAGTTGGTCATCCAAAAGGATTTCCTCTGTTGGACAAAAGGATAAAATAAAAAATAAAAATTAAGTAAATTTCTCTGATGTTTCTTGCCTGAAGGACTTCAACAAAAGCTTCTAAAATGTATAGCTGGGGTACCTGGGTGGCTCAGCGTATTAAGCATCTGATTCTTGGTTTCAGCTCAGGTCATGATCTCACGGTTTGTGGGTTCGAGCCCCATGTCAGGCTCTGCACTGACAGTGTGGGGCCTGCTTGGGATTCTCTCTTTCCCCCCTCTCTCTGCCCCTCCCCACCCCTCTCTCTCAAAAATAAGTAAGCATTAAAAAATATTAACAAAAATGTTTAAAAAATGTACAGTTGGATCTGTGTCCACAGGAACAAAATAACACTGAGTGCATGAAGAGACAATGAGCTTCATGTCAAAAAAGCTCTTGATGGCATTTAGGTAAAACCAACAAGTTTGTATTTATATAAGAATATTTCAGGGAGGGGCGCCTGGGTGGCTCAGTGGTTAAGTATCTGACTCTTGGTGTCAGGCTCAGGTCACAATCTCACAGTTCCTTCATGAGCTTGAACCCCATGTAGAGCTCTGTGCTGACGGCATGGAGTCTGCTTGGGATTCTCTCTCTCCCTGTCTCTGGTCCTTGCTCGCTCATGCATGTGTGCACATTCTCTCTCTCCCTCTCTCTCAAAAGAAAAAAAAAAAGGAAAGAAAAAGAATATTCTAGGAAAAAAGAAAACCCTGACAACAACAACATGTATATTCTGGGGAAGATAGCCCCAAATCTCTTCTCTCTCTCACCTTTCCAAACCAAATAGTTTGTTGCAAACAGCTTGGAAAAGAGAAGAAAAGGTCATGATGACTTGGAAGGAATTTGTCTTGTAAGGATTTTGCGCCGCTCATCTCTGTGCCCCAGCACCCACCACAATGGCTGATACGCAAACTTCTTGAATGGAACACTCTTTAAACCAATTTCCAGTAGAAAATCTAGGAATGGGTCAGAGGAATTGTTGCTTGTTTGGGGATTTTGTTTTGCCTTGTTTTACTGTATTTTATTTTGCTTTGTTTTGCTTGGTCTCTACTTAGTAAAAGTCCTTGCTGCTGCCAAAGAGAACGTAAACATTTTAATCTAGAGCAGTGACATCATCTAAATGTTTTGCAGTTATTCTGAATGTGTGCCATATGTCTCCTTTTCCATGAGAATGATACCTTATAAAGAAATAATACTATTTCTGCATAGCTAGAACTTCCTGCTTTCTAAAGAGCTGTGGGACTTTAATTCCGCGAAAACAGTAAACTGGTTTCTCCCTATACTACCAGAGAAAAGACCTGCATCAAGCGGTTTAAAGATAAAGCTGTCACTAACTAAAAGCTAACAAACATGTGCCTAACTTTTGCATTCCACTTGCTGCTTTTCACAACACTGTATCGACGGTATCTCACCCAGAGAGCCTTGCACTGTAGGGCGCATGAAAGTTCCCACCACTTCCATCTTACATGGAATCAAACTGGGCTCAGATCACAAGACTGGCTCCCCCTAGAGCCAGGAGTAGAAACTAGCCAGGTCTTCTGGCTTTCAATGAAGTGAACTTTGCATTATGTATTGTTTTAACTGGTTGTGTGTCTGTGGCCATGGTGGAGACAGGACCATGAATAGCACATACCTATGGCAAACAGTTCTACACCGGATTCACGAAGGTTTCTGGATGGTGGGATAATGTCATCTTGGGATTTGCCATCTGTGATTAAAATGCCAATTTTGGACACTCCAGTCCTTGCTCCTGCTTCTGGTTTAAAGCTGTTCTCAAAAATGTAGTTCAAAGCAAGACCTGGGGGATAAAATAAACACACACCAACCATCTCTAATAAAAAGCCTTCCAATTCTGCAAAATATAACAATAAGATGAATAACTTATTGAGCTACAAGAATATTTTACTAGATATGAACTTTCATCTTCCTGTTTACAATGACTCTTTACTCAACAGATCTGATGAAAAATATAACACCAGAATAGAGGTAAGACAAATAACTGAATACTCCATCATTTCAGTAACTAACATTTATAAAGAATATTAAATTCATGGCCAATACACGTTGGGCTGAAGAACCAAATATTCTTTCTCTCTTTTTTTAGGGATAGTGGGGACAGATCCAAAATGATCACTGAATTCCTGACTTTTGAGTGGGACACTTTTCATCCAGAAAAAAAAAAAGAAATACTGCAATATTGTTATAAGATTTATGTTTAATAAAGTTTTCTGTTGTATTAACAAAAAGATTATGCCTCAGTTTGGCAAAGAAATTATCAAGATTTCAACAGTTTACTTAAAAGCCACTGACAGCATCAATACTGTTTAAAACAATCATGTACGTTGTGCGTCTATAGAAGAAAATAGCGTGTACCAAGGTTAAAACCTGTGACAACCTCTGTGGCTGGAATAATTATAATCTCAATATTCTTACACTCCTTTTTTATCAAAAATACCAGTGAGCCAAAGATACACAAATATTTTTATGATAACTACTTATGGCAAAACAAGGCCAAAGAAAATACCTTCCTTGAAAATAAGGTAGAAATTTGTTTTTGTTTAAATGAAGGGGTGGCTGGAGGAGAAAGCAGGTGAAAAGAAGCGAATGAATGGCAAAAGCTAGAACAGGTGGCAAAGACTGTCAGCCTTCAGGATCATTCTGTCTCCTTCTGGCCCAGCCAAACCATTCTGGGGATATTATATTCATACAGCATAAAAAATGGGGTGTCTGGGTTTTAATTCTTAATGCTGAGTTTGAGAAAAGAGCCACTTAAGAAGTTTAGATTTTAGTTTGATTTAGAAGCACTATGCCAAACCTTACAAAGTGGCAGAAAGAAATAATGAAACTAATCTTTGGCAAGGTATGTTGCTAAAACATGAACTGAACAGAACATACCTGTTAATGTATTTCCTCCCTTGTATGGTAGATTCCGGACAGCTTCGATGACCTCATCTTTTGTGCTAAAGGCATTCAGGTGCCATTCTATTCTGGGGTCACCACTATACTGTGCAAGACCTGGTAAAAAAGATGAGAAAGCCCACCCAGAAATGATGAGTTATTCAAAGATCTAGTGGACTGTTCGTGAAACTAGCATAATAAAGGGCCTGATCTTTGTAACAATTTTTTGCTCTGCCTCACTATGTATTTTCAAAGGGAATTCTTGGCATCAATTTAAGGAATTAGTTTGGACGTATCTTGGGGCAGGAGGAATGTACATATTTTCTAGCCATTTAGAAGTGAGCACCTAATTAGGCACTTGGTATTTAAAAAACAAATCTGATTGTATTTGTAGATAAACGATCTAGATTTATTGGTTCATTTTTATTCTCAAAGGAATGGCTTTCCTTAATGGCTATTTAAAAAGTGGAACTATAAGACTGTATATGATAAAGTAGACATATTGCTCAAAGATTCATAACATTTTTTTGTGTTTTTTTTTTTTTTTTATCTTGGCTGGAATTAACTTGGCAAAGATTAGTTTGTACTATAAGACTATTTCCAATTTCCAATTTTCTTAGTTCAAAATTCCACTGGATTCAGCTGATTCTTTTAAATAAAAAGAAAGCTTATACCTGATAAATTCTTAAACCAGCTGCAACTTTAGAAGTTATTATTATTAGGCAGAGAAGATTTTGACTTTTTAGGAAATTAAAATGTGTTTAATGATTAACTGAATGACAGCGTCATTCAGCATAAATTAGTGGGAATAAATATTTATTGATCCAAACTTGCGCTCTTGGGAATATCATGATAGTTGATCCTGGAATTCTGGAAGCCGCTCTGTAAAAAATTTTTGAAATCTCTTATGACGCTTCCTAGCAGATTTACACATTATTCTGCTAATAATGGAACATATACCAATCCGTGTCTTCTCTGAGCCCACATTGAATGCTGTAACCAGGTTCTCCAAGAAAAGCCGAACCAGTCTGAAGTTGAATCTTCCAATGCTCCAGGAACCATCAACCAGGATTACAATGTCAGCGATAGCTGGCGTTTCACAGAAAAACTTCACTTCTGCACAGCACAAACCAGAGAAGTATATCACTGCTGGAACTTTGAAAAGAGTGATTCTATTTTACACCTTTCAGATAACTTAGTGCTAAGAACACAATAAAGTTCCTATGAAAGCAACCATGTTTTTACAACTCTTCCCTTAAATGCATTCTTACTAGGAAAACTTGTGGTTACAGCTGGCAGCAGGGCCAATGTTCTGGAAATAGTTAGCAAAACACTGGCAGGTTCACACCGTCCTGGCAACTCAAGACTTCTGTGTATTTTAGAAAGTACTGTCTGTGAAAAATCATCCAGATTTGGGTTTTAGCCTGTAGATTCTTTCCAAGAAAGGTCTTAGCAACCAGTGTGGGAGAGTCAGCACAGATGGGAAGACGGCCAGAAAGCAGAGAGGCAACTCTCCTGGGCTGATAAGTGTGCTGGCGGAAGTGATAGAAGAGAAACACGGGCTTCCTGAGTCCACGGAAAAGTCGCAGCCATGCATTTAATCTAAGAAAGATACACAGGGAGGGTTTGTGGAAGAAGAAAATTGGGAAAGGGCCCAGGAGTTTACCCAAATTCAAATTCTTTCGTATATTGTCTCTATGTAACGGTAAGATTTTGTCCCTAAAAATCACTTCGTAATTTATCTTTTTAAATAGCTCAATCAGGCTTTAGAATAAGGAGCCAGGAAAGGATGCCCTGCGGCCAGAGTGCTACACTCTGAGCTTTACACTCAGGGAAACTCTCAGCTGGCAGTGATGTTTGCGACAAAGCAAGAGCTGTCTGATGGAGGGTGGTCTGTGCTTGACTAGGTGAAAACCACCACTTAACCGTCACACAGAGCCAAGATACTAACATATCTTTAGTGTATTTCAGAACCCTTAGAGTTCTTCAGTATTGGTAGTACCTTCAGCGGCATTGATTCATACCCTAGTTTGTGCTTTCAAATGGGCTGCATAACTTTGCTCAATGTTCATATTAAGACTGGCAATCACGAATAGTGGGTGCATGTTTCTTTGTGACCATGTCAACTTCTTGAAATTGTCCAGTAAATCCCTATTTTGTTTGTAATCTAACATTAAAATGACAATAAAACAATATTTGAAATACATTCATATAATGAAAACCAAAACACAGAAGTGATTATGAATAAATTGAATATACTTTCCCCCAGAGGAAACATAATCAACCTATATGGTTGGAGTAGGCAATTCAGTATATGTCCCTAGGCCTACCAGGCTACATTATGCTAAAAAAAAAAAAAATCTTGTTTTTCTTTTCCCCCCAGACATAAATATGCATGGAATACCTAGATCCTTTTACCAGAAGGGGGAAAAAATGTATTTGCCAATGAAATAATCAGATACTCATTATGAAAGCTCAACAGAACAGCTCAATCCAAAGGTTATATATTACATTTTGGGGCACCAAATCTCCCTTCCTTAATAACCAAATACAAAGCTACTACACTGAAATATTATAGTAGTATTGCCAGAAGTCATGGAATAAAAATTAATTTAGGGGGCGCCTGGGTGGCGCAGTCGGTTAAGCGTCCGACTTCAGCCAGGTCACGATCTCCCGGTCCCTGAGTTCCAGCCCCGCGTCAGGCTCTGGGCTGATGGCTCAGAGCCTGGAGCCTGTTTCCGATTCTGTGTCTCCCTCTCTCTCTGCCCCTCCCCCGTTCATGCTCTGTCTCTCTCTGTCCCAAAAATAAATAAACGTTGAAAAAAAAAATTAATTTAGTTTTTGGAAATAATCAAGGAAAATTAAAATCTTTTGAAGCTTTAAGAATCTCTTTCTCTCAGTTTTTATGGGGGAACTTTAAATGGAGAGTCTTTTCTTTAATTTCCAAAACTACTGGTGGATACTGTTTTACTTTTTAATTAATTGTTTGGGTACATTGTATACAGGGTCTTTCTTAAAAAGGAACAATTTCCCCCTGCTCATTTAGAAGAGGATGATGAAAACTGGTATTTTCTATTTTACAATTATTTCCAATAAAAATTTTCTATTTATTTAGCTCATTCAAGTCTTTTTGACCTGGAGATATAAATTCTCTATGGATCCAAAGCAAGCAAAAAAATTAATTGACTATACGTGAGAGGATTGATAAATTTAATGATATTAAAATTTTTAAAGTGGTTCATCAAAAACACCTTAAAGAAAATAAAAAGACAAGTTACAACTGGGAGTAGACAAGTACAGTATAGGAAACTGGAAAAGAATCAGTACTGAGAACAAATAAATCATGAATACACAATAATAGAGAATAAGAAATATATATGAACAATAAATGAATGAAGAAAATATTTAACTACATTAGTGATCACAGTAATTAAAAAATCAAGATCACAATGGGATATAATTTGTGCTCATTCAGTGGGAAAAAATAATAAATTAAATACCATTTAGAATTTCTCCAAAGATAATGAAATATTTGCACATAAAGCATTTGCAAAATATGTGTGCTGAAAATTATACTACTGATTGAAGAAATAAAAGAAGATATAAATAAATGAAGAGGTTTACCGTGTTCATGGACTAAAAAACTGAACATAGTAGAGATGTCAATTATCCTCAAATTGATCTACAGGCTTAATGTGATTCCTACCAAAATCCCAGAAAAGTTTTGTTTGTTTGTTTTAGAAATAGACAAGCTTATTCTAAAATTTACATGGGAAGTCATAGACCCTAGAATAGCTGAAACAATCATGAAGAAAAGAAGAGGGTGGAAGAAACCATTTTACCAGATATTGAGCCCATTGTCTATCCAGCTATAGTAATCAGTACATGTGATATTTGAGAGGGATAGACACATATGTCAATGAAATGGACAGAAAAGCCAAAAATAGACTCATACACATATGCTCAACTCTATGATTTTAAATCTAAATATGATTTTATACAAATGTGCAAAACTACTTCAACAGATGGTGCTCAAGCGATTGGACATCCATGCAACAGACAGATGATGATGATAGACAAATGATAAGATAGATGATAGATAGAAAGATGGATAGATAGATAGATAGATAGATAGATAGATAGATAGATAAAACTTAACCTAAACTTCATAACTTACATCAAAATTCAAAGTAGATTATCAACTTAAATGTAAAAAGTAAAAATTACAGAACTTAGGAACAAAATAGAATGTAGAACAAGATAAAGAATTCTTAGAGTTAAGAGACTCTTAAATACAAAGAACAAACTGAGGGTTGATGGGGGCGGGGGAGAGGGGAAGTGGGTGATGGGCATTGAGGAGGGCACTTGTTGGGATGAGCACTGGGTGTTGTATGGAAGCCAACTTGACAATAAATACATTAAAAACAAACAAAAAAAAAAGAATGTTTAGAGTTGATACCAAAAGTACAAATCCATAAAAAGAAAAGTCAATGAATTTGACTTCATCAAAATAAAATATTTGTACTCTGTGAAAGCCCATGGAAATAAGAGTAAAAGAGAAACTACAGACAGAGAAAATATTTGCAAACCACACCTGACAAAGGATTAGTTTCTAGAATACATAAAGGACTCTCAAAACTCACTAGTAAATACAACCAAGCAATCCAATTAAAATATTGGTAAAATACTTGAACAGATACTTCACCAAAGAGAATATACTGATGGCAAGTAAGGACATGAAAAGATATTCAACATCATCAGCCATCAGGGCAATGCAAATTAAAACCACAATGAGATTTCACTATGCATACCTATCAAATGGCTAAAATAAAACACAGTGATAATAATAAATGCTGACAAGGATGTGTAGAAACTGATCACATACATTGTGTCATGGGAATATAAAATGTTATAACGATTCTGAAAACAGTTTGGCAGTTTCTTTTATTTTTTCTTAGTTTTTTTTTCAGTTTGCTTATTTTGAGAGAGAACATGCAAACAGGGAAGGGATGAAGAGAGGGAGAGAGAGAATCTGAAGCAAGCTCTGTGTTCTTAGCACAGAGCTCAATGTGGGGCTCAAACTCACGAACTGTGAGATCATGACCTGAGCTGAAATCAAGAGTTGGAAGCTCAACCGTCTGCGCCCCACAGTTTGGCATCGGGCTCTGTGCTGACAGTGCAGAGCCTGCTTGGGATTCTCTGTCTCCCTCTCTCTGCCTCTTCCCCACTCACACTGTCTCTGTCTCTCTCAAAATAAATAAATGGGTAACTGAAAAAATGTTTTTAAAAATAATCACACATCTCAAACATAACTCCAGCTGTTGCAGTGAATCTTTTAAAAACTATATTCAAACTATATTCAAATTTTATTAAATTTTGAATATGTTCAAATCTTATTAAAAATAACAGCCCAGGGGCGCCTGGGTGGCTCAGTCGGTTAAGCGGCCGACTTTGGCTCAGGTCATGATCTCGCGGTCCGTGAGTTTGAGCCCCGCGTCGGGCTCTGTGCTGACAGCTCAGAGCCGGGAGCCTGTTTTGGACTCTGTGTCTCCCTCTCTCTGACCCTCCCCCATTCATGCTCTGTCTCTCCCTGTCTCAAAAATAAATAAACGTTAAAAACAAAAATTTTTTTAATAAAAAATAAAATATAACAGCCCAGATTCAGCACTGATGACAAATGATATCTCCTTCCACTGGAAAATATGTGACCGATGTCAGCATTCTCAAATGGAGAGAGACCAATCAGAAAAAAAAACCACAAAAATTAAGCATCAAGGAATGTGTTAAGGAATCAAGTGGTGGAAAACCAGACATACTTGGGAGCCCAGGTAAATAATTGTGTAAAACTCTGCAGTCAAATGTAATTTAAAACAGCATTTAAAAGAGGTAAGTACATATCATTTTATTGTTAAAACATTATTCTGTAATTAATTATTTTAGTAAAATAAATCCTTTTTGCTCTCATTTAAAGTATTTAAATTTACACTGTATTTAAAGTTAAAGAAAAGGGGCAGGGAAAATGGTTTCTTGAATGTATTTTAATTCCACTCTTGGCTTAACATGGTCTTTGTCTAAATGCAATTCTGAAAATGCAGGGAGTGTAAAAAGAAAAA